GGTCAATGTTCATGACAAATTCTCAAATTATATCCAATCTCTGGTTCAAGTATGAGTTACGTATGTTTCTCCCTTAGACAGAAGGAGAAACTGATGTCCCCAAAGTAACCAAATGTTAATTGTAACTTTATAAGTAACCCTAACTCTGAGACATAAGAACAATTGTTTTTTTTTAATGAAACTCTTAATCTGTTAATAGTTCACAATCAAGATTTTTGTAATTTTTCACCAAAATATTCTTGAAATACCTGATATGTCTTTTGTTCAGCATGAGTGCCAATCAGTAAAATGGGAGCCTTTTTACTGCTGTATTGATGAATGGATTTTGCCCAAAATGTAAGGTAGTCTGAGAAAGATAAACATTCATATTAGTGCTAGACTTTTTGTACATTACCATAAATCTGGAAATTTTTACGGCGATTTTATTTGCGAATCTTGGTCAAAATGCTGTTGATTAATTTTTACGTTTCAAAATTTTGCGAATCACCACTACTTTGTTTACATTTTCTTATTGTTATTGTTATTTTTAAGATAAATATTTTTGCGAATGCAATGAACTCGCAAATTTGCTAAACATTTATCTACAGCAAAAATTTCCAGATTTACGGAATACGTTTATTTCTTGTGATTAACATATTCCTTGGTACAGATATTTTTTACTTTAAGACGTTAACTTTTGAGTCTTACTCACTTTAATTTGATAGTAAAGTTTAGCCATAAGTTTGAATGTTTGGAGCTAGGGCTTTCATATCATTCGTGTATTCTTTGTTTCAAAAACCTTTTTAAAAACCAACAATTTGACTCTTTAACCTTGCAGTTTGGCCCACTTTGAAAAGGTTTACCCTTGGTTATAGCGTTTGGATAGTTGGTGCTCGGGCTCTTATCTTTCACAGATAATTTTCTCGTTACAAGGCCTTCCTTTGGGTGTCAATAATTCTTACCTTTTGACCCAGAAATTAACCTACTTTAAAAATGCCTTAGCTATTCCCTTTGAATGGTTTTTCTTCGGTAATTCATATTTCACATGTCTATTCCTTGTAAAAAGTCCCCGTTCTATATTGAACACTCGCATCCGGAAAGTTTCTGACATATTCATCATTTACATAATACAAAGTCAGCGTCCAATAAAACGCAAAGATATTGAACGTTAAAATTCTCTATAGATTTTTGTAGTTTTCTTTTCATATAAAATATTTTTAGCTATATAATAAACTATATTTGCCATGAGCTGCCGAAAGGGCATCAGTGTTTCACAAACAAATTTTCCTTTTAAAAATGTGTCTGACTTTCCGCTTTCAATGTATTTTGTACAAATACAAACCTCTGTGTGTCCATCCTTTGTAAATGGAGCCTTCCTGGCTACAGACTTCTTCTCCTACCATATCATCAAATTTTTTCTCCATGTTGAGCACCAGAATGAAGAATGCACGTGGACTCAAAAAAATCTGGTGTGAGGAATAATATGAACATTGTCCCGCAAAATCAACCATGCTGATTCTTTTCTCTGGTTCGTCCGTAGCTTGTTTGGAGACTCGTATTATCCCCAAACTTTCTGAATTCTTAGCAACAGTTTGGATTTCTTCAACTGTTCCCTCTATCTTTTCAAACAATGGAGCAGCGACTTCGTCTCCTTTAAATGACTCGGTTTCTGTATTCATGCTGTCACGTGACATCTCTTCATCATTAACGGCTTCACTAGCAGCGTCTTCTTCATTATTTCCTTGGACATCAACATTTAGTGATTTTGTATTTTCATATACATGCTCTTCATAATAAGGTTCTGGTACCGTTTGATTTTGACTTGTTGTATCAATTCTAACCTTAATGCGTTGTTTTTGGTCTGATATATTTACTGTAAGAAATATTTAAATTCATAAAGATCAGTTATTTAACCAAATTATTGACACCCTAATTATAAATTTTTTAAAAAATCAAAGCTGCACTATATGTCTAATTATTTCTGTCGTAGGGATTTTGATAATTCTTTGATAATTAATTTTAACTGTTATAATTATTGTTTTAAGATGAAGAAATCAAAGGTTTACCACCCCGATTTCTTAGGGGAACACCTCAAAAGGTGTCAAATTTTACTATTGGACCCAATGGGAATTTGTTGGAAAAAGCGCCAATTCTTCACATTTTTTCCATATTTTTAGTATTTCTGCCCTAGAGATTTCTTTTTTCTTCAAGTACATAAAATTTATTGTAAAAAGTCATCAAATTGTGAAATTAAAAAAAAAATTCACCATCTACTTTGGTGTAGGCATTAATTACTAAGTTTATTTTTTCAAGCCCAATATCTCTAAAATTGCCATTTTTAATACGGTATAACTACATATTAGTGCAGATGAATTATCGGCACATGCGATTTTTTCTGGTAAAAAAAAAAGCAAAGTTTAATATTAATAATGTAATAATGCTTTTTTTAAAGAAGGTAACCCGATTAGTACAAAGTACTATTCTTCTCCGAGGCCTTCTACAATTCAAACAATATACATAAAATGGTATAATCAAACATATATACAATGTACATGAAAATGATAAGCTCATATTATAATTTCATAATCGGATGTAGTATTCAAATTAATGAAAATATAGGACAATAAATAAGTCAATTTACAAAGTTTAAAAGACATAGTTAATAATAAGGACATCTATAATAATCAAAATTACAGACGTTGGCTAATTATAACTTTTTCCAAATTCTTTCTAAAAACAGGTAAAGATGGTGATAATTTAACATGTAAAGGTGGACCATTCCATAAATGTACACCTGAATATTGTAAAGAGTTTTTAAATAAGATTGTTCGATGCTTTTGTAATCGAAGATTATAATTAAATTCTGAACGCAGTGAGTAAGATTCAGAACTGTGAAAAATAAAAAGATCCTGGATGTATTCTGGACTCATACCATAAAACGTTTTATACAATAAAATAAATTTATGAAACGTAACTAATTCAAAAACATTTAACCATCCTAGTTTTTCAAACAAAGGCTTAGATGGTTGGTCAGGTGCTGCATCAAGAATAATTCTAGCAGTCCATTTCTGAAGCTTTTGAATTCTCTCAATGTTACATTTGGACGCATTCCCCCAGACTGTGAGACAAAAGTTTATTGAAGGCAAAATGTATGCATTGTAGAAAAGTTTTCTTGAACTTAATGGAAGAAATTTCTTAATTTTACGGAGCGTTAATAATTTGTATCTCAAGGATTTACAAACTGCATCAACATGACAATTATACTGTAGAGATTAATCTATCTGAATACCTAGGAGTTTTTCAATTTCAACATTTTCCAAGTTTTTGCCAGAAATTTCTGCATCAAGTACTGGGTTATTTAATCTTGATCTTTTTTGTTTTGTACACATAAGCATAAATTTTGATTTGTCTGTGTTCAGTATCATCTGATTCTGTAAACACCAGTTTTTCAATTTCACGTAAATCAGAATTTAAATGTTTTTCGATATTATGTGCATTGCTGTTAGGTAAATGCAGAGTTGTATCGTCTGCAAACATATCAATATTAGAGTAATTTACACATAAAGGAAGATCATTTATATACAATAAAAATAGGAGTGGGCCTAAAATGGATCCCTGTGGCATCCCTGCTGTGATAGGTAAAATATCGGAAGAACATGCGTTAATTTTTACACTTTGCTTCCTTTCATTTGAATAAAACTTGAACCACTTCATTGTTTATGAATCAAAATTTTAATGTCGTAATTTGCTCTATTAAGATATCATGACTGACTTAATCAAACGCCTTACTAAAATCTAGAAAAGCTATGCCAATTAAATTTCCTTGCTCCATTCTATGCAACCAGTTTATTCGGTAAGTTTGATTAGTGCTGTTTTTCAAGAGTGGAATTCCCTAAAACCAGACTGTGAGCTCATAATGAGGTCAAAAGATCTTGTAAATTCACGTACTTGATTAGCAGCATGCTTTTCAAAAATTTTTGACAAAGTTGGTAGGATAGATATTGGACAGTAATTTCTGGGATCACTTTTATCGCCTTTATTATATATGGGGGTGACTATACCACGTTTCAACTGGGAAGGGAAGATGCCATTAGTAATGCTAGTATTAATGAGATGAGTTATGGGTTTAGAAATTACATTTGCAGAAAGTTTTAAGAGAAGGGGACCAATGAAATCTACACCTGCTGATTTTTTAATGTCAAGTGAGCGTAGCATAGTTAAGACATCGTCCTGGCTTATAGGAAGTTAGCTAAACACATTTTCATCATTGAGTTTGGACTTCGTGAATTCTTTTAATTTTTGAGAATTAAAGCTATGGTTTTGTGTTTTAGTTAATAAACTGTCAGAAGTTCTTGGGAAATGCTCATTAAAAACATTTACGATTAGTTGTAAATCATCAATTTGTGATTCATTGTCTTTAATAAGAGTGGGAGAAATATTTTTTGACTTAGAAGCTAAATGATTGAGATAGCTCCACATTTCTCTAGGATTAGAACTCTCCTCAATTGCTGATTTGTAGTACATACATTTTGCATTATTAATCAATATTGTTTGAATTGCTAGTATGCCTCTTTAGATGATCTGTCATCAGTATTAAGTATAATATCCCTGGACGTCTTGAACATACAAGCGAGCCATGCGTCATTGTTCAGCGTCATGCGTTGCTTACAAAATCCGAAAATGGTGACATCGATAGAGCCATAGGGCGTTTTTCCTAATTATTGTCGTAAAATCACATTTTCAGACCAGTAGAGGTTACAAATAGTGTTAATTTTATATAAAAATCAAAATATTTGGCAAAGGTGTACTGTTGCACAAATGACTGCATGAAATTAAAAATCTGCGCAAAGTCATGCGCACTCGAATTAGACTCGGACTCGTTAATACTAAGTTTGGGCATATTTTGTGCATGCATTTAATGTACTAGATTAATTTACGCTATTCATACAGTGTCGATAAAATATACACGATGATAATGAGAGTTTCAAATACCGATATAGAACACAAGGCCCATTGGCCAAAAAGCTCACCTGAGCACTGTGGCTAAGAAAAGTAATAGAAATAGTTTAGTATTTAAAACTTTTAATGCATAAGTGGTCCCGAGCTATCCTTTAAAGGAGGAGGGGTGGAAGTGGGTATGATTTGAATAAATAGAATCTACAGTAACTAAGGATGCTTGCATATTTCGTTGACTAATTGTGATTTTCCCCCTTTCAGTTTGAACGTTCATTGTAGTCCAACCTAACCCTTGATGTCATGATTTGAGCAGATCGGAATCTACGCGACCTGAGGGTGCTTGCATATTAATATGATTAACCAGGGCTATGATATTATGAGAAATCGAGTAGAATAACATGATATCATGACGAATTCGAGACAAGATATTCAGAGTTTTTTTTTCTAAAATACACTTGTGTAAACTTTGATACCAAATGGTTTCCCCATCCTAACCCAGGGTGGGGGATTAATTGAAAATATTGAATCAAGACAACACGAGAGCAATTCATGATCAATATGACTAAGAATGGCTTTGCTGTTTTTGAGAACAAAACTTTAAAGCATGCCATCAGATTTTTACAACTTCTTAATTATCTCCCAATGAATGTGTAAGTGACTCTTCATTTGAACAAAAATGACTTTCCTTTAGCAAGAGATTCTTTCTGGCAAGTTGTGAATGTTAAAATATATATTTAAAACAAACATTTACGTTTAAAAAACGGGTATATTTCCATTTATTCCCCACCCAAAATTATATATTTCCCTAGCATTATGTTAACCTGAGTGGAAGTCGGTAGCTTCTGAAATCTATTTGTATCAATTCAAAATTTTTTATTCTATTTTTAGGCCAATGTAGAGAAAAAATCCTTACAATCACCTAGAAAGGTCACGTGAAGGTTAATATAAGGCTTTATTTTCGCCATAATTTTGGACATCGGCCAATCAGAGAGCCAGGAATTATCAAGAAAATTAATAAACACATTTTAACAAAAAGAACTTATCCCAAAATGAAGTTCATGACAGAGTCTTCATCAGAGGTGAATGACATTTACAAATTTTGATTTAAAATTGAAACAATACCTTCGATGGTATTTGACACATCAAAGACGTCGGTCTGGATATCTATTCCTCTGGTTGATCTTGTAGTTCTCCCTATTTCTTCCATGTCGATGCCTTTTAATCTTCCAAGTAAAGTTGTCTTTCCACTACCTGCACACCCTATCAACATCCCCGTGGCGTGGTACATGGTGGTCTTTCCTTTCTTGAGATTTTCCAGGAAATTTTTCACGGAGTCATCTCCTCTCATTATAACCTGTACTGGTATACCCACTGTAACAAATCAAAGCATCTCTTACAAGAATGAAACTCTGTTAATTAGTCCTTTAAATCACAAAAATGGGTAAATTTTATATTCATGTCTTTTAATTATTCTACTTAAATGAACCAAAAGAGTATGTTGAATTGGTGTAAAAGTTAAAAAGCGTTGCTCTATAATGGAACACTTCTCAGCTTTAAGCCTAACAAATATTAAAGGGTAAAGACCATTATTTATTAACATGCATTCTCTGTAAGCACCAAAAAATCTTGGAAACGACATGTCTCCGATTTTGATGAAATTTACACCACAGGTGCACCTTGGTACAAAACCAGCAAATATAGTGTTAGAAATTTCTCACGTGCACCCGGTTGCCATGGAGACGGATCTATTGAATTTGGCCATTTTCGGCCATTTTTGACCAAACAAAAGCATGAAAATTGAGGAAATATGAATGCATTTTTATCTTTATGTAGTGAACTCAAATATAAATCTTTGTATCATAAGAAAACATCAACTGTTAAAGAATACAGGGCATATAACCAGTTATTCCTGAATTGACCCCACTCTTAGAAAATGGTTCGGCAAAATAGCATAGTTTCTCAAAATGTGAAAAATGGAAAATTTGGCATATTTTGAGAAATTTAAGGTTAAATAAAAAAAATTGTCTACAGAAATTTTTCAAATCATATGCGTGTAGTCGAACTTCAGTATTAGTAGTGTCCCCTCATGAAAAAATTGGAGTGGGATCTCAAGGCTATTTTTAGTAACATGTATCTAAAAATAGACATATTTCAGAAAAATCCAAAAAATGAAATTTGGGCAGAGTTTTAGATGCCATTGCTAGGTAATTATGAAATATACTGTAAAAGTCAATGTGCTAATGTCAGAGACTGGACACCAATAACTACCATGCATATTATTTTCAGGGATTTCCGTTTTTTATTTATAGCTTCAAATGCCTAAATATAGACATGTCTCATAAAATGATGAAAAATGTCAATTTTTTCTCAATTTGAAGCTCCACTGAATCATAAATAATAAAAATATGGATCTCTCCAATATTTCATCAATAAGAACAAGGAATAGTATAATATCTCACAAATTATTGAGGACAGGCTCTCATCTCTATATATAGTACAAATGTCTAAAAATAGACACATATGAAATTAACTGTTTAATGTTGATTTTCCACTAATTCTCAAATTAGAGATGGGAAATTTACCAACTTACAGTCACTAACTGTAACTGATATTATGTGACTGACAAGAACAAAAGAACATTCAATGGAATGCAGCATGATAAGCAGAGGTTTCCATTTCTATTCATAGTAACACATGTTTAAAAATAGACGTGATGCAAAATATCGGGAAAATGTCGTTTTTTGTACTTTTTTCTAAAATTTTGGATGAATAATTGCTGACTATCTGTTTTTAATTGCTATTGGCATATGGTGACCAACAAATAAAAGAAAGCCTTATATCAAATACAGAATGAGAAGCAGAGGTTTCCATTTCTAATTATAGTAACACATGTTTGAAAATAGACGTACTGTAAAATATCAGAAAAATGTAGTTTTTTTGTACTTTTTTCTCACATTTGGATAAAGAATTGCAGACTATATGTTTTTAACTGCTAATTGGCATATGGTGACCAACAAGTAAAAGAAAGCACATACGAAATACAGAATGAGAAGCAGAGGTTTCCATTTCTATTTATAGTAAAACATGTTTTAAAAATAGACGTGATGCAAAATATCGGAAAAATGTAATTTTTTGTACTTTTTTCTAAATTTTTGGATGAATAATTGCTGACTATATGTATTTAACTGCTATTGGCATATAGTGACCAACAAATAAAAGAAAGCATTGTATCAAATACAGAATAAGAAGCAGAGGTTTCCATTTCTATTTAAAGTAACATGTGTTTAAAAATAGACGTACTGTAAACTATCGGAGAAATGTCATTTTTTGTACTTTTTACTAATATTATGGATGAATAATTGCTGACTCTCTGTTTTTAACTGCTATTGGCATATGGTGACCAACAAGTAAAAGAAAGCCTCATATCAAATACAGAATGAGAAGCAGAGTTTTCCATTTCTAATTAGATTTTTGTACTTTTATCACATTTTGGATGAGCAATTGCAGACAATATGTTTTTACTGCTATTGGCATTCAGTGACCAACAAGTAAAAGAAAACATATACAAAATACAGAATGTGAAGCAGAGGTTTCTATTTCTATTTATAGTAACATGAGTTTAAAAATAGACATACTGTAAACTATCTGAAAAATTAGTTTTTTGTACTTTTTTCACATTTTGGATGAGCAATTGCAGACAATATGTTTTTACTGCTATTGGCATTCAGTGACCAACAAGAAAAAGAAAGCATATACGAAATACAGAATGTGAAGCAGAGGTTTCTATTTCTATTTATAGTAACACATGTTTGAAAATAGACATGCTGCAAATTCTCGAGAAAATGTAGACTTTCGCACTTTTTTTCTAACATCAGCGATGGTCAAAGTGCGGACAAACGGCTTTTATTTGTTATTGACAGAATGTGACTAACGAGTATGAAAAAGCTTTAGCTAAAGTGTATAAGAGTAATGTTTAAGGGTATTTTTACATTTCTGCCTATAGTAACACATATTTATAAATAATCAGGAAAATAAAGAATCATTCGTTTTTCTCAAATTATTGACAGAATGTGACTAACGAGTATGAAAAAGCTTTAGCTAAAGTGTATAAGAATAATGTTTAAGGGTATTTTTACATTTCTGCCTATAGTAACACATATTTATAAATAATCAGGAAAATAAAGAATCATTCGTTTTTCTCAAATTAGGGATATGAAATTTGCAGTCAAATTTTCATTAGCTGTAACTGACATGGCTAATTGTATTCGGCGCGCCAGCGCGTCCACCTCATTCCAATTCATATATCACAAAAGTATGTTCTCCCTGCATTAAAACATTCAAATGACAGTGATTTTCTTTATAAATTAAGCATTATCGTTTATACTCAGGTCGACAGCCCCAGCCCGATTGAAATTCTTTTGTTAGGTGGATCCAGAAAATTTTCCCTAGGAGCCGCTGTCTCAAATCACTATGTCAGTTTAAACTAGAACTGTCCAAACGGGACTAAATACCCCCGCTGGGTTTTTCAGAGGTGCTAAATCATGAATATTTAATGGATCTTATTCTAAGAGAAGAGAGAAATGCTAAAACATTTTTAATGCAAATGTAATTGCTCATAGTATTTTCATAAATGAAACGAAGGCGCATCCTAATAAAAAAAAAGACTAAATATACGGACCAGACACGAATTATGAACTTTTTCTGTCAGTGACCTTGACCTTGCATTAATGGCCTTGGATCAAAGTCATGACAGAAAATCAGGTAATAAGCAATGTTTGTGTGAAGTAGTAGATTCAGGTTTAGCCATGAAAAAGATATGGACCAGACACAAATAATTTTTTTTTCATGTGACCTTGACCTTCCCCAAATGACCTTGCGTCAAGGTTATGACACACTCTTAGGTCATGAGCAGTCTTTGTGTGAAATGAGAACCTACCAAGTTCATCCATAAGAAAGATATGGAGCGAACACGATTATGAAATTTTTTTCAGTGACCTTGAACTTCCCAAAATGACCTTGGTTCAAGGTCATGACACACCCTTAAGTCATGGACAGTCTTTGTGTGAAATGAGAACCTACCAAGTTTATCCATAAGAAAGATTTGGACTGGACACGGATAATGAATTTTTTCTTCAAGTGACCTTAAACTTCCCTAAATAACCTTGAGTCAAGGTCATGACACAATCTTAGGTCATGGGCAATCTTTATGTGAAATAGGAACCTACCAAGTTTATCAATAAGAAAGATCTGGACCGGACACGAATTATAAAATTTTTCTTCCAGTGACCTTGAAGTTCCCCAAATGACCTTGGGTTAAGGTCATGACACACACTTAGGTCATGGACAATCTTTGTGTGGAGTAGTAGATTCTAATGTTCCTCAATAAGGAAGATATGGATCGGACACCTTTGCATAGACAGATGGACAGCTAGACAGACGGACAAGCTGATTCTTATATATCCCCAACCTTCGTTTGGGAGGGGGGTATAATGATTCCAGGGATCCAGATCCCCTTTGATCCATGCATGCCTCACCACAATTTGTTCATAAGTAATCTGAAATTTGCCGAAATTTTTTAAGTTGGCTTACTTTCGATTTCTCTCTCTCTATACATGCATGTTTATATTTCTCTAGACTTAAACTAAAGCATTTAAAAAAAAATTGTTGTTTTGGTTTTTTAAAATTTATTTTACGTATAAACATACATGTAGGTGTTGGAACGGGGGGGGTCAAAGATAGACATCACATAGGTAATAAATAATGGGGAGTAGATTTAACCCCCCCCCTTTTCAGCAGACATTTTGCAGTGTAATTGAATAAGGGTAAGTGGTAGTGTTTAAAAAAATGGTACTGAAAGAAGTTCAATCCCCCTCACATGAAAAAGGATTTCATGTTTGGGGCCCCCTCTTCACTTTTAATTTCCTTCTAACATGAATGTAACAAAGTATTTTGTTATGACCCTAGAGTTTTATCTCCTTTTTAAAGACACTTGATTTTCATGGCAATAATCTCTAGGGTCATAACAATATTGAACTTCTTTCAGTACCATTTTTTCTTTCTTTCTTGAGCCACCGCCTCCTAGGGAAAATTTTCTGGATCCACCTAACAAAAGAATTTCAATCGGACTTGGGCTGTCGACCTAAATATAAACGATAATGCTTAATTTATAAAGAAAATCGCTGTCATTTGAGTGTTTTAATGCAGGGAGAACATACTTTTGTGATATATGTATTGGAATGAGGTGGACGCGCTGGCGCGCCAAATACAATTAGCCATGTAAGTTACAGCTAATGAAAGTTTGACTGCAAATTTCATATCCCTAATTTGAGAAAAACGAATGATTCTTTATTTTCCTGATTATTTATAAATATGTGTTACTATAGGCAGAAATGTAAAAATACCCTTAAACATTACTCTTATACACTTTAGCTAAAGCTTTTTCATACTCGTTAGTCACATTCTGTCAATAACAAATAAAAGCCGTTTGTCCGCACTTTGACCATCGCTGATGTTAGAAAAAAAGTGCGAAAGTCTACATTTTCTCGAGAATTTGCAGCATGTCTATTTTCAAACATGTGTTACTATAAAGAGAAATAGAAACCTCTGCTTCACATTCTGTATTTCATATATGCTTTCTTTTTCTTGTTGGTAACTGTATGCCAATAGCAGTAAAAACATATTGTCTGCAATTGCTCATACAAAATGTGAAAAAAAGTACAAAAAACTACATTTTTCCGATAGTTTTCAGTATGTCTATTTTTAAACTCATGTTACTATAAATAGAAATAGAAACCTCTGCTTCACATTCTGTATTTTGTACATGTATATGCTTTCTTTTACTTGTTGGTCACTGAATGCCAATAGCAGTAAAAACATATTGTCTGCAATTGCTCATCCAAAATGTAAAAAAAGTACAAAAAACTACATTTTTCCGATAGTTTACAGTATGTCTATTTTTAAACTCATGTTACTATAAATAGAAATGGAAACCTCTGCTTCTCATTCTGTATTTGATATGAGGCTTTCTTTTACTTGTTGGTCACCATATGCCAATAGCAATTAAAAACAGATAGTCAGCAATTATTCATCCAAAATTTTAGAAAAAAGTACAAAAAATGACATTTTCCCGATATTTTGCATTACGTCTATTTTTAAACACATGTTACTATAAATAGAAATGGAAACCTCTGCTTATCATGCTGCATTCCATTGAATGTTCTTTTGTTCTTGTCAGTCACATAATATCAGTTACAGTTAGTGACTGTAAGTTGGTAAATTTCCCATCTCTAATTTGAGAATTAGTGGAAAATCAACATTAAACAGTTAATTTCATATGTGTCTATTTTTAGACATTTGTACTATATATAGAGATGAGAGCCTGTCCTCAATAATTTGTGAGATATTATACTATTCCTTGTTCTTATTGATGAAATATTGGAGAGATCCATATTTTTATTATTTATGATTCAGTGGAGCTTCAAATTGAGGAAAAATTGACATTTTTCATCATTTTATGAGACATGTCTATATTTAGGCATTTGAAGCTATAAATAGAAAACGGAAATCCCTGAAAATAATATGCATGGTAGTTATTGGTGTCCAGTCTCTGACATTAGCACATTGACTTTTACAGTATATTTCATAATTACCTAGCAATGGCATCTAAAACTCTGCCCAAATTTCATTTTTTGGATTTTTCTGAAATAAGTCTATTTTTAGATACATGTTACTAAAAATAGCCTTGAGATCCCACTCCAATTTTTTCGTGAGGGGACACTACTAATACTGAAGTTTGACGACACGCATATGATTTGAAAAATTTCTGTAGACAATTTTTTTTATTTAACCTTAAATTTCTCAAAAAATGCCAAATTTTCCATTTTTCACATTTTGAGAAACTATGCTATTTTGCCGAACCATTTTCTAAGAGTGGGGTCAATTCTGGAATAATTGGTTATATGCGCTGTATTCTTTAACAGTTGATGTTTTCTTATGATACAAAGATTTATATTTGAGTTCACTACATAAAGATAAAAATGCATTCATATTTCCTCAATTTTCATGCTTTTGTTTGGTCAAAAATGGCCGAAAATGGCCAAATTCAATGGATCCGTCTCCATGGCAACCGGGTGCACGTGGGAAACTTCTAACACCATATTTGCTGGTTTTGTACCAAGGTGCACCTGTGGTGCAAATTTCATCAAAATCGGAGACATGTCGTTTCCAAGCCCTATAGTAAATTTTTTGGTGCTTACAGAGAATGCATGTTAAGATACAAAAAAGACAAGGGACATGGACGGCAACAATCACTTTATAATCTGTTTAGCACTTGTTCTTCGGAAGAACTAATTCTATATTCCTGAAAAAATGTTAAGGTATCCTATTTATGTATTGCAACGTATTCTATATGGGTTTTTTCTGTTAGACTAGAATTTGAATAAATATTTGCATGCTTAGTGGATATCACATCTTGTTTTATTTCTTCTTAAATGTCTTGACGTATATTTTTCTGGTCTCACCTTATCCAAGGAGGCAGGAAATGGGGGATCCAATCTGAATTTTGTTCAATTTGAAGCTGCTTGTTTTTCTGCGTATTTCTATGTCACACAATGCGATACTTTTTTGTGGTCAAACCTTTTGCCCAAGATTTATGATTTGTACAAGTTTTTATTCGTGCATAGCTAGCTGTCATGTAGGTTTTGATTTAATTTTGTCCTACCACCTCTTGAAGAGAAAAATTTTAAATGATACTATCATATACTAGAAAGGAGGGCTTGGCCCTCCTTAAATTTCCCTTTTGAAATAATGATGTACTCCTTAATGGTTCTAGAGAAAAGACAATATCTACAGAACACTTATAGAAAAGGGCAAAAAATGGTCACAATAGATGAGCAAGAACTGACTTAATTCATGAATTTAACCGGAGTCAATGGTCAGATACAAAGTTTGTAGAACGCATCAAAGTTTGAATCCATAGATGTACCAGATCCTCAATTTGGCTTGAATACAGTTTTACCTTACATCTTAACAGAAAAAGAGACAGGCTGGTATTCTAATTTAACTTTAATTCTTGGTGTAAAGGAGATTAAGAAGACTAAAACATTGAAATATGAAAAACAATACCACAAAGAAACGTACGCTTTCTATACACTAATTCATGAATGGATTGGTCCTTCATTGTGACATGTGAGAACATTTCTTCCCCAAGTCTATCTATCAGCTGTTCTGTTTGATTTGGCAATAACCAACAACAAACTTCTTCTTCATCCTCTCTTCTCAGATAATTTGATGATCTGCAATACTTCGCAATGTTTTCTTTTTCTGCCCAAATTAGAAACATATCAACAAATTTTCGTTCTTTTGCAAATTTTAGAAAACTGGTGTCTCTGAAAAAGTTGCAAGAAAACTCGACATTGGAGGTATCCTGTTTCAGCACAGGTTTGTACTTTTTCATTTTGCTGAGATCGGATTTCTTCTTAAGCTTCTTAAATTTGAAAACTTCAGCCACAGCATTATATTTCTCCATCCATTGTTCTTCTTCAAGATTTATTTTGTAATTCTGGCAAAGAAGAAGGCACATCAAAACTGCATCTTCATCTACAAACATATATTTAAATTATATTTGTTTTACCCTTTAAACTCAAAATACCTGAACTGCTAAGGTTGATAAAGATTTATGGTAATACTGATGTTATTAATGCACTGGCTAGGTAAAAGGTTAAAAGACCCAAAGGTAATTTAAAAGTTCTTAAGCCTGGGACTAAAAGAAAGGCATATTAAAAACGCTTAAATTCAGATGCAAAATTCTTAAACTTCTTTGGGAAATTGGATAAAATACAATGTAATATCATACAGTTGAGGATTTCAAATAATGTCAATCTTCTACAACAAACTACGCAAGATTGTCAAAGGTTTTCTTAAACTGTACCTCGTTACCAACCTTTTTTCTTGTTAATTTCACGAAACAATTTCTCAACATCTCTAACGTCATGCTTTTTATGATCACTAGAGGTCTTGATGCAGATTTCACACAAGGCAGTCTCACACAGGACACAGAACTGGGACAATGGATCACTTGGATGCTTTACACACTTCATCTTCTCCAGAGGGAGACCTGCAAATTCATAAGAAATATTAAATGTACAGGTAGATATCCAGAGGGAAAACTATAAAAAGGCTTTAAATAGAATGGTTTTTAATGTACGTATGCGCCATAATCTAGCAAAATTAACAGAAGATTCATGCTCACCTGAATAGCTATGGTTATATATATATATATATATATATTTTTTAAAATAAAATAAAAAGGCAACACTTGTTAAAACGTAAGCGCTTTCATTGTTTTTTTCAGACGTTTTAAACAATTTAAACTTGTGACGTAATAACGTTACCTAGTGGTAACGTCAAAAACAATACAATAACGTCACAATACTGAAAGAAGAAACTTTGACATGAGTTTAAAGAAAATAAACATACTGTTTGCATACAAATGTCTTTGTTTTACAAAAATATAAAAATGTCTAAAGTGAACTATTTAGTGATGGTTTTAACAGTTTTATAAAGTATTTCTCCTTTTCCCGTCTTTGCACCACATTGTCTGTATAAAGTTGGTAAAATGGAAACACTGAAAATTGTCCCCGGCCACAAATATCAAGATGTCCGCTTACATTTATTTTACGGTATTCAGGTTGGTTAATGTGCTGTTTGTGTATGCGGATACGTGTACGTAGTGTGGTTCCAGTTTCCCCAATATAGAATTGTCCACATCCTGCACATGTAATACAATAAATAACGTTTTTAGACCCGCATGTCATGTCTGCCTTTACGGTAAAGTCTTTATTCCCGAAATTAAAGGTACTTCCAGTTTTCATGTAATTGCAGGTTCCACAGCGGAGATCGGAACACTTCCTCACTGAATATAAACGTTGTTGGTGGAATGAGGATTTGCATAATATCCTTCGTAGATTCCTTGGTTGTCGTTTGCTGTTGATATACGTATACTTTTCTAATACTTTGGTCATTTCCTCATCGGTTTTTAGAACATTGTTTAGTTGACGAACGGTTGAAGTAATATTCTTGTTTCTCGGATTGTGAGTAGTGACCAAAGGTAATATCTTTAAATCTGAAGTTTGGCTTCTGGTTGGATTAATAAGGTATTCTCTGTCCAGTTTTATTGCCTCTTTGATTCAATCTTCAATGATGCCCATATAATAATGTTGAAGTACCAAGCTTGATGTATGTAAAGCAAAGAGTTTTCAAAATATTCATTGATGAATATCTTCCTCCATACAAGCTGTCAAAGTATCATACATGAAGCTCAATCAGTAGAGCACGCATTCTATGATGACGAGATTGTTTGTTTTATGACCTTTAACGTCGCCCGCGTAGCTCAATGGTTATAGAGCGTCTGCTCTAGATTCCCGAAATAGGGTGTAGATCCTTACGTCCTTGGTTCAAATCCCCTGTGGGACGTGAAGAGCTGTCCTTCAGATAAGACAGTATAAACTGAGGTCCCGTGTCTCAGTGGGTGCTGGCACGTAATGATCACTGACTGCTCAATGGCCCTTAGCTGCAATAATGTAGCCCTCTCCGATTTTTTTATCTAATGTTTTCTGGAGAGGGCTACAATTCATCAGCATCTCCGTAATGGTGCAAAAATATTTTACAGATACGGATAACTGCAGGGAGAATAAATTGTATTTACATTTAACTTACTAATAAGACGAAATTTTTATTCACTTGCGACACCATAGCCGTTAAACGCGAAAACCATGTAAACTAAATTTGTTTGTCTTACTCTGCAGCCATTACAGTTCATGCGTGACGTACCGATACTTGTGCTTGAAATTTAGAATATCTCAATCAAGCAAATGTTGATGTTTATACATAATTGTGATGAATAGTAACACTTAACATCGATAATAAAATCATTCCATGTGTCATTTTTTCATTACAGCGATATTAAGGCGTAAAATAATGTAATTTCCCAAAAATCCGCTCCCTATAGATCCTTAATCTCATTGGCTGTACCAAATAAAATCTGTCAAGGTCAGTAAACACAGCGGATAAACTTAAGTTGTGATGTTGACATACAAGAAAAATACGGATATATGGATTGTTCTGTATATTTTTGGATCGATATATCTCTGGGATAACCCCAATTTGGAAGTCCAGGTAAGACATATTATTGAAATTGCCGTTTACTGACAATTTGATCCAAATCCGTGCGGGAGTGAAACGCTTCCGCATTGCACCATTACGGAGATCCTTATGAGTTGTAGCCCTCTCAAAAAAGCAGAGGGCTACATTATTGCAGATAAATGGCCCTAAGTGCCGAGTGGACAAAATTTGCAGCTCTCCACTGGGAAGTGGTGGCGACTCCATATGCTCGAGAGGGACGTTTAACAATATACAAACAAACAAAAAATAACCTGAGACCTTATAAGCCAAAGAGATCATCTACTCCCTAAATGGAATTAAATATCAATTTTGATATCTGTTTAACAAAAGATTCACAAGAATATGACCGATAAGTGTCTTCCTATATCAAGTTTGACCATTAACCGTTCACCTTACAAATGTATGTACTTGAAATCAACAGATTATGTAACTTCTCCATAAAACCTAGTGTAGCAGGGTTAATGTCTTTCTAGCAAATCTCTGTGATGGGTTTGCTCCTTGACTTTTGAACTAAAATCGTACAGGTCATCTACCCTTTATAGGGGAGTAAGTTTTGTTTCTGTCAAGCAAAGGGTCCTCAGGATATTGACATGCCTATTTGGGTTAAGATTCTATATATGGTGAGTTGTTCTAAGTCCAAAGTAACAAGAATATTATTTACATGTTCATTATTTACATGTTCAAGACTTAGTTAATTTCAAGGAAAAACAATATCTAAAACGTTTAACAATCTGACATGGCGATAAAATTGTCTAAATAACTTGATTTGACATAAAGCGTGAACAAATTTTCAATGGTTTTGTTATCATAGGCCTCCCAATTGCCCATGCAGTGAGATTGGACAGTAATATATTTAATTAATAACAAGTGCAACACAACTTTTTTCTAAGAAATATCTTCTGTAATATGGTTTCATAGAAGAAAAGTTTCACAAGAAATTGTAATTAGTGGTCCATGGGCCACAACGCTCACATAAGTAACTTTTGCTCGGCTGTTACATAGTCTCCATAAATAAGTCTATAGAAGTTATAAACACAATACAACAGTATAACTTACCAGTCAGAGAGTCTCCATAAATAAGTCTATAGAAGTCATAAACACAATACAACAATATAACTTACCGGTCAGAGAATCTCCATACATAAGTCTATAGAAGTCATAAAAACAATACAACATTATAACTTACAAGTCAGAGAGTCCCCATAAATAAGTCTATAGAAGTCATTAAACACAATACAACAGTATAACTTACCAGTCAGAGAGTCTCTATAGATAAGTCTATAGAAGTCATAAAAACAATACAACAGTATAACCTAACAGTCAGAGAGTCTCCATAAATAAGTCTATAGAAGTCATAAACACAATACAACAGTATAACTTACCGGTCACAGAGTCTCTATAGATAAGTCTATAGAAGTCATAAACACAATACAACAGTATAACTTACCGGTCAGAGAGTCTCCATAAATAAGTCTATAGAAGTCATAAGCACAACACAACAGTATAACTTACCAGTCAGAGAGTCACAATAAATAAGTCTATAGAAGTCATAAACACAATACAACAGTATAACTTACAAGTCAGAGAGTCACAATAAATAAGTCTATAGAAGTCATAAACACAATACAACAGTTTAACTTACCAGTCAGAGAGTCACAATAAATAAGTCTATAGAAGTCATAAACACAATACAACAGTATAACTTACAAGTCAGAGAGTCTCCATAAACAAGTCTATAGATGTTTACTGTGCTGTTGATCCTTGATCCAACCAAGAGTAACTGAGTTCTTTCATCATAACTCATGCTCCATGGTACGTCTATCCCGTGTTGTTGTGTGTCTGCCTGTGACAGGAGTCGCTGGTAACTGTCCAGGATCTGTACTGACAAGGTGGTAAGATCACACACCAGGATGTGTGACAGCGCGTCAGTGCAGATTCCACGTGGTGCTAGTCCTGATCCTGATGTAGGACCTCTGTAGGTGAATCGATGTCTACCTCCACGATCCGTCACCACTACACCACGGTAATAGTCAGACACAATAACATCTCCATTGCAGTTCTCTGTGATATAGATAGGTTTTATACACAGTCTCTGACCTGTGTTGTCGTGCTGCATGGTCTGTATGTGTTGTCCTGTGTTAGTGTAACGGTTTACTTGGCCTTTCATTGTATAGTCAACATACATCTCGCCGACCAGCAGGTCTCCAGTGGAGGGGGAGCTGTAGACACACTGTGGTCCCCATGTGAATCTGTTATACGGTATTAATGTGTTGTATGGTATTAATACAGTCTTTACTTTGTTATCTTTAGACAGTTTGTTAATGTTACCATTCCTGTCTATATAAATTAAATCGCCGTCACTTGTCACAGTGTGTACTCCACCATCAAATGTAGTTATATCTGTAACACGATGTAGTTCTTCACCTGCAGCGTTTGACAGGACTAGATGGCCTTTATCATCAGAGATCCAGACCCGGTCAGAAGATATATGGGAAACGTGATTACACCCAGTAACACCAGTCACTCTGAAAGATTTCTCTAACACTAATCTAGGCATCATTTGATTTTTTTTCCTGTGGTTTCTATCCGTAACAGAATCCAGTGTTGATTTCCTTCTGTCAGGGAGATTTCTCTGTAAACAACAACATTCTGCTAATATTATGTACTTCAACGACAAGCCTTCTTTATGATTTAATATATTAGATGAATAGCTAATTAATATCCTACAGAGAGAGAGAGAGTCACTGTACACTTAATATATGGTATTTAATTTATTACTATATCTCATATAAATAATCAAAAAGTAAAGAGGAATAATGCTGTTTAAGGAGTAATTGTGGGATTATTACGAGACGCAGAGTCAATCCGATTGCATGGACTAACATAAATATATGTAGAGACAGTGTGAATCGAAATTTAAGGGTGAAACAAATGGAGCTTTTCAAGAAAGCTTTCCGTCTTTAGCTACAACCTTAAACAGTTACTGGTCTAGACCTATTAGGCCGTAAAATTCTTTTGAATTTCTTGATTTTGTATTTCTACGTTAGCTTTTTACTGGCATTAGCCCATCACCGTTGTCGCTCGGTCATCTGCCTAAACCTTGACTTGCCGAGAGTTTTCGGCAAACCTTGACTGATTCCGTTACCTCTTTCAAACGAGAAAAGGGGAAATTTAAAGAATAATAACAAATTGTAAAGCCTGCAAGCAATTAATTTCAAATTTTATTTACAATGAAATTAAAGAGACACTTTTAGCTACTGCTATAAACAATATAATGTTATTTAGAATTAATTACTGCTGATTTTTTATCGTTTTGTCATTTTTTTAAGATTGAAAATCTTGCCAAATTGTTAAGTTGTACGAATATTAGATCATCAGAAAATTATCTCATTTGCCTTGAACAGCATTTCAACCAATGCAATAATTTAAAAATTTCTCATCATACAATTTATACCAATCACAGAAGAGAGGAAGTTCTTAGTCCGAAGACTGTAAATAATACTGTCTTCTAAGGAAGACGGTTATAAACTGAATGCACGTTTTTAAGCCCAGAAGGACCAGTGGGGAGTACAACGTAAACAAAGCGGTGTGGCATACCTTTATCTGTTATAATGTATAGTGGAGTATTTTTGTGGAGCAGTCATTTAGCGTTTTAAAGATTTTTTTTATTGTACTGGCTGCTTATTATAAATAAGTGTTATAAATATGATATGTGAACAAAATGTCAAACAAGCCCCGGGGTTGAATATTTGGGGAGGGGGTGGGTGGGTTCCTGTCCACAAGTACTTCAGTCTCTACCCATAGTTATCGTTCCAATTGTTGTAGCGAAGCGAACGATTACTCTGGGTATAGATTACAAGTACCTGTGGATAAGACATCGTCAGAATCTTGCACATATTAAATTTAGGTAAACATTGCCATATTTAAACTCTCAGGATAAGATCGGAAATACGGTTGAATGATTCACTTTTTTATTGGAAATTTCGGGTTTGGTTATCGAAAACAAAACTGTGATAAGAGAAAATGTTAAGAAACGTCAGGAATCTCTTCATGAAATCTAAATACTTCAAGTGCCTTGCACACATCTCTACTGTTTGGCTAGTATTTGTCTCTTTTAGAACATTGGACTTTAAAAAAAAATGTGTTTTCTTTGTTTTGCATTTCTCATTGAAATGTGCATGATCTTGATCAGTTTGAAAATATGGTACATGTATAAATTTTTTATATCACTTCAAGGTGCCAAGGTCGCCAGTTTTGGGGCAGACCTGTGCTCATATTTAAAAAAATTATTTTACAAATTTAAAAAATACCTCTTTCTCTAAACAATTCTACATAAAATAACATATAAGATCATTGGTTTGCCCCCCCCCCCCCAAAAAAAAAATGAAAAATGTGATAGAATTTTTTTTGCTTTTTAAAGAGCTTTTTCATGGGTGTATGTCTAATATTGACAGTTTTTCAGTCGGGAATCATTGTTTCCCCATGTTAACTGTAATAAGTAGAACCCTGTAACGAATGTTAACAGACGAGATATTCTGCCGAAGCGCTGATGCAACTTAAATCATGTAGGCCTAACTGGTGAATAAAAAATAAAAATGTGAAAAGACAACATGTTTACATCAGGTAAGTTTATTCTTTTAAACAGCAGATAAATATACAGACCTATATTGTAAACGAAACTTAAAACATGATTTGTTTACATTGTATACAACAGGTACACTGCAGGTCTGATTTGAACATATTTTATTGTACTAAATATATACAATGGGATTGGGCACAAGTTCTAAAAACTTAAATCGTCCTCTCCCTACATGAGATATTATAACAGGATGAATTAGAAGTGTTCAACAGTTTGTACAAAATAGATTACATGTAAATTAAATAAACTCTCATTATGGACATATATATATATATATACTGCTACATTATTGTTTATACAAATGATTATAAAAATACGTACAATCATTTAAATCTACCAGAATGCTATAAGAATGTACAATAGAAAATAGATATTCATTTTCAGCAATACTGAGTGATGTATCCCCCCAGAGTAAAGTCTGAATGTGAACAATATGGACTTTATTAAATCTCAAGAACTTATCGAAAAACTCTTTCCTGGCCTCGTTGTAATGATGTGTATCTTCTACCTTACCGCAGGAGCATAGTGGACTAGATATTATATTACATCTATAAAGATCAGCGTGTAGCACGCAGTTGTGCCGAAGTCGTGTATGCAGTATGTTGTTGCATCTTTTACCAAAATTAAAATAAGGCGGAGCTTCTGTTATTTTTTGTTTAATTTTAATTTTGAAGGCAGACAAAGAGCACGAAATTCTGGTATTTAGCGATAAGGAATTCCACTCATTTATTACAGTTGGTACAAATGATGATATGTAAGTTTGCAATTTACATACAGGTATACTATAATTTTGTGAGTTTCTTGTTGTATATGCAGAAGCATTACATCGCATATCTGGTATAATCTCAGATAGGTAATCTGGTACTAAATCATTGTGAATTTTGTACATAGTATTTAATATTTAATCTTTGGATCTTGCGTCTGACTGCAGGTCTATATATACACACTTTCTACACGGCTGCTCAAGACAAACAGAGCCTTTCGAAAGCATGTAATCCATGTTTCATATTATCCTAGTTTGTGACAATAGCGCTGTTAACAACTCATCAATATTATTTGAAATCATTAATTATTTTTCTGTAGGAAATTGAAAGTTTATATACTACTATTACTAGATCTATATATAGCTTGTATATGTACCCATATATTGCCATTAAAATGAATGGGAAAAAAATGAAAGTGATCAGAACCTTGTTATAACATCTTCATTCTGATCACAAATTCTAGTTCTGCATTAAATTTGTTTATATACTATCCTCATATCAAGAGAAATCATTAGACATGTTTATTTACATGTAAATCAAAAGCGAAAGTGAAGGTCACTATATACGAGGGGCGTTCAATATTTTTTGTCCAAACCGTATTACAGCAACAAAAACAAAACAGGAATTTAAATCATTTATTGCATTCCCTCAAAGTAATCTCCTTTGTATTTAATACAGAGATGAAGTCTTTTAATCCAGTCATAAAACACGTTTTTGTAAGTTTTTTTTGGTATACCCCTTAGATACTGAAAAATAGCTGATCCCAGCGCTGACCGCGATTGGAAACGCCTTCCAGAGAGGGCTTCTTTTAGTTTTGGAAACAAGAAAAAGTCACACGGAGAAAGATCCGGTGAATATGCAGGATGCGGAAGTTCGACAACTTTGTGACGCTGTAAAAAGTCTCGAGTAACTTTTGCTTTATGGGCAGGAGCATTGTCATGCAGAAGTTTAATGCCTCTCAAACCGGTATTAGGTCGTCTTTTTTTGTAAAAATTATAAAGTCTCGGAAGTATACTTGAGGAATACATATTTCCAGTGACACTTCTGCCCTGTGGGACTGCATATTGGACTACCAAGCCATTTGAGTTGAAAAATATTGCGTATAGAGCTTTCTTAGAAGTTTGAGTTCTTTTTGCAATTGTTGGCCTCTTCATTTTCTTTCCAATCCAAACCTGATTTTTCACTTTTCTTTCTGGCTGGAAAAAATGGACCCATGTTTCATCACCTGTGACAATCTGACTTAGCTTCCTAGTGTCCATATTTTTAAACATTTTCAAAAGTTTTTGGCACTTTTGTAAACGGTCCCTCTTCTGAGCTTTGGTAAGAATATGTGGAATCCACCTTGCACAAATTTTACGGTACTTTAATTTAGCTTTTAAAATAGTAAAAACACTGCCCGTTGAAATTCCTACACGTTTTGCTATTTCTTTGACGGTAAGCCGTGCATCTGTCTTAAGAATATCACGGATTTTGGAAACATTACTTTTGGTGACTGCTCTTGGTGGTCTTCCTGAATGTTTGTCGTCGGAAACACGTGTTCTACCACTCTTTATCTTGCTTACCCATCTGTAAACTGTTTTTTTTTTTAAATAACAGACCCACCATATATCCGAACAATTTCTTCATATATTTCATTTCGTTCTATACCAATGACACAACGAGCAAGAATATACCTTCTTATTTCAAGTGACTCCAGACTTCTGTTTTACCCATAATTGATGTCCAGTGTATTCGGGTAGGTCAGTTGCAAATGTAAGTGTGTGTTTCAGAGTGCACTGACTTGCTCCAAATTTTGACACAATGTCGATAAAAGATATATCATTCATGGATGACCAGATACCGAATCGACTGATCTAATTTTTATTGAAAACCATTAGGGACAAAAAATATTGAACGCCCCTCGTATACCACAAACAATCTTTATGTCGAGATCGATGTTAGTGTAGCGAGTATGCGAGCAGATCTAACATCAAATTTCAATTAGATTGATGCAGCCTGGAAATATTCAACAATATTTTTAATCCAAACTAGGGCTAATTGTAACAGGGACCGTTACAGATGTTCCCAAAACGCTCCCCAACTCCCTTTTGGTGCCATATTCCCTGTAAGCTTCATTAAATAAGACATACTTTATGCAATTTAGACTTAAACAACGTTTTTTCAGAAGAATAAAAAAATCGTATATTTAAATTTAGCATTGCACGCGTGCTCATGTGAATACATGTGCGTAATTGACCATATCATTTTGTCTACACTATCTATATATTTTAATATACTTAATATCAAAGCGATTAATCCAAAAGTATTTAAAAATACACTCATTCGAGTATAGTTTTAATTTTACTTATTTCACGTGCATGCACGTGCAAGCATGACCATACCTTCTTGTAGGAGTCCATTGTGTTTATCTTTATTCTAAATCCCATCCTGTTTGGTTGAAAACTAGGGCTGGGCAATAATATCGATATTTCAATATATTGCAAAACAATAACAAAAAATATCGTATCGCAATACGATTTTGTAATATCGATATCTTGGCAAAATGCTTAGATTAAGGAATTTTGTAATTAAATATAAAAATGTACTTATGAAAGTTTGTTATCAAGCCAAACAGTAGGACAGAAGTTGTTTTGTGGATAACTTAAATGAAATCAACAAGATTTTTTTCCGTGTTGGTAACTGATTATTGTTATGAACATTCTGCATGTAAATTATAGCAAATATAGTAAGAAAATGTCATTTTAATTACATTGAAAATATTGCAATACATATCGCAATACAGTTAAAAATATCGCAATATATCGCAAAACGAAATCTCGGGCCAATACCCAGCCCTATTGAAAACGAAGGGAGTTATAACCATTTAAAGTTTAAGCCAATCAGACTGCAGTGCACGTACATGCGCGTGATTTCATGAAAATATTAAAAATTTTATTGTAGGATATCTTAATGCATGACTATGTTTTAAATTTCAAAGCATTTCGTCAAAAAAAAGGAAAATATTGAAATTTATGTTTCAGTCAATCACAGCATGCGCATGATGACCATACCTTCTTGTGGGAGTCCATTATGTCTGTCTATGTTCTAAATCCCATCATGTTTGGTTGGAAAACAAGGGAGTTATAGCCATTTAAAGTTTACGCCAATCAGATTGCAGCACACCTACATGCGCGTGTTTCATGACAATTGTTATATATCATATTTTTGAACATCCTAAAGTATGCCTTTGTTTTAAATTTCAAAGCATTTTGTCAAAAAACAGAAATGATATTGAGATTTTTGTTTCAGCCAATCAGAGCAAAGCGCCCGTGCATGCGCGTAAGTTCCTGCGTATATGTCAATGTCATATTATTTACACTATTATATATCTTAATATAATGAGTCTCAAATAATTTCATTCAAAAATGTAAAAGTTATAGCTATATTAAGTATATCAGTCATTTCACTCATATCACGCTCACGCACGTGCAGGCGTATGCGCGCAAAATGACCATCGTTCCGCACACCTACACTACACACCTATTAACCCTAAAAGGTTTTAGCTTAGTTGGGTGAACAGTTTCTGAGAACACTCGCGGACAAAAAAAGACCGGAGAAGAAATAAGAAAAAACTAGATGAGATCTCGTTGCGAGCAACGAGTAGGTCTTCCGTTCGATTTTTGATAAGATCATTTAAGTTCAACTTTAAATGAAAAAAATGTTCATATCAAATAATCAAAATACGTGAGAACACATTTAAGAGTGAAATCTATAAATTTCAAACAACTTCCGGTCTTTTTAATTCACTTCCGGTGTGACCGGAAGTACTTAAAATGACATATAACTCCTCTCTGAGTGTGAAGGAATCCCTGATAATTTCGAGCAAAAATGCTCATTTTCTAGACTATTTACAGTTTGGAAAAAAATTACTTCCGGTGGACATAATATTACTCGAAACACTCTATTTGCCTCTATAAGAAACATAAGAAAAAAAATTAAATTTTGCATATTTTTAAACTACTTCCGGTGGACAAAAATGTTATACCCTTCTCAAATCTACGAATCATAATCTATCATTCTTGAATGTTTCAGGACTCAATCTCCAACCGTTTTCGAGAACACTCTCGGACAAAATGAAACTTCAAAAATTGAAAATTGACCGTATCTCGCGACCGGAAGTGACAACGGCAAAATTAAAAAAAACGCATAAAGTTCAAATAGTTTCCAATCATTTCTGAAAGTTTCATGAAAATCTGTCCAGGCGTTCTCGAGAAATCGCCTGCATAAAATCGGTAAGAAAAAATAATAATAATAGTGGAAAAGAAAAAAAAGAATCAGTAGAAGGTCTTCTGTTGGAAACGGAAGACCTTAAAAAATAATAGCTGGAAAGTCTGCTATTGCAAGCAATAGCGTATGTCGCCCCGAACTGTTCCCCTATTTCCATGGCAGCTATTGATAATTCTTGACAAGACTTTCATTTTTTTTATATATCACTATAACAATACCCATTAGCTAAGCTTGGACAACCATCAACTCCTATCAGTACTTTCAGTACTTTGATTTAAGAATCGAAGTAAAGATTTTTCACTTTCCTCTGGTTTTCATGGCAATAATCGATTATTTCAAAATTTAAAATGCGAATCGCACAACTACAACTACTAATCAATAAAATAAAATAAGTTTCATGACGAATGTTCAAGTGACTAGAGAGAACACTCGCGGACAAAATTCATCCCTTTTTGCAGGTTTCCATGGCAACGGTAGCCATTTTGAATTGAATGACCACATGGCACAACCACAACCAGTGATTGTCCTTTGAGGAAAGTTTCAAGAAGATTGTCCCAGCCATCTCTGAAAAAACGCCTGGACAAAAAAAACATGCGTACAATTGCAATATGTCGTCCCCGACTTCGTTCGGGACGACTTAACAATAATAGTAAGAAACAGAACATTATTAAGAGGTGAAAACAGAAAGAAAGGGAAAATGGGGTATTTGCAACCCCAAAATACATGGGGACTTGACCCTTTTTAAAAAGATATTTTGTACATAATGTGACTGGAAATTCTTTAGAATCATCCCCCGACAAGGCAGGGTTAAAGTCGACTAAGGGTATCAATGCATGGATATATTAGTAGTATAGACAAGATGACATGCTCAAAATAGGAAGATCTTACGCGCATGCATGTGCGCTTCGCTCTGATTGGCTGAAACTAAAGTCTCAATATCTTTCTTGTTTTACGTCATAATCCTTTGGAATTTTGAACATAGTCATACGTTATGAAGATCTACAGTCTGATATTTAAGAATTATCTTGAAAACACGTGAATCCACGTGTGGTGTATAACTTTCTTGTTTCTCAACAAAACAGGATGAAATTTTGAATATAAATAGGTATGATGGATTCCTATGTGATACTACTATCAAAATAAAATGTAAGGACGTGCTTGCATGCACTTGCGCATGCGCAATGCGTTAAATGAACAATATATTTGAAAAACAGTAACATTAATTTTTTTATGACTTTTTATTGATTCTTGGAATATATGAAGAAATGTAAATGATTTAGCAACAATCCATTATCACCTTGCATAAGCATGCACATGCTTTTGCATGCAGTGTGTTAAATGACAAAAAGTTTATATCATTGTAGTTTTAAAAGTCTTTTATGAAATCCTGCAATACTGAGCATATTAAAAAAGTTTTAAAGGAAGTTTTAAAGGAAATTGGCACAAAAAGGGAGTTGGGGAGCGTTTGGGGAACATCTGTAACGGTCCCCGTTACAATTAGAACTAGTTTGATATTGGCTTTATCCAATTCCGCAGCACAGTTAAGGTTCTTGTAAGGAGGCGGGGCCTAATTTGTACAGGAAATGTTTACTTTGACGTCAAAGAGGTCTTCAAAATGCCACAAAATGAAATTATTTCCTATTTCAAACAGCTGGATAGCTGTATACTACATAAACTTACTATTACATGCAGTTGTGTCGTTTGTTAAATCCCACACATCAGTATATAAATGATGCATCAATCGCAATGGACTTGTCAATGTGACGTTATCAAGCAAAAATGACGAAGTTTGTACACAGTGAGAGGCTGATCAAGTCACATTTTTCTAGAATAAAAAATGTCTTTTGTTTGCAAATAAAATATTATTTGCAGTTAGCTAAAAGACTGTTAACTTGCGACGTATATTTTAGTATTTTATTCATACTGTCCATACATTCTCCAGACAAGTGATACTGTCGTGTGTTTGTATGCAGATTCATTGAAAATGTAATGGAAGGCCTAATAAATCGATTATTAATACCCTCAATATATCTTGTCAAATTTTTACACATAAACTTAAGAAGCATTAAGATATTTGAAAAGCCCTGCGAACCTCATGAAATCTTGCAAATAAATTAATTATAGCTATATTTAATGTAGTTCACCAGCAAAATATTCAACCTGCCGTCCAACAAATTAAATTTTATCAATCAAAAAAGGAAATCTTTATAGGTTCTCAGCACTTTTCACAAGCTACATATAGTGTTGAAAAGGATCATTATATAAAATAAGTATTTTAACTTGGTTATGCCCTTGCAATATTGTTTATAGATGACCTCTAAACTGCAAGTATAATTGCTAATATCATGTGACGTAGACATTACCTGACAAATCTAAATAAAAAATCTAATTGTCTCCAACATGTAGATTTAAACTACAATACATTTTTTTGATATCAGTGAAGTCCTAAAAAGAATCGCCCATCCTAATAAAGTGTATATTTTTTATATTAAAAAATCGCCATTTCCATTTGTAACCTTAACTAAGCCGCGTCGTTGAAATGGTGTATATTCGCTTGGCAAGGCTCGCGAATATGTACACAATTTCAACTCGTTGGATTAAGCCAATATCAAACCACACAATATAGATATCCTCTATAAAAATGATGGAAGTTAACTGTGGAAATGCAAAGTATTTTAACCCTATAACAATTATGAAAAAAAAAATTATTTTCTTACATATTATCATAAAGTGATACCTTTCTAATAACAACTGCACTTTACATAATACATATGAATAACTCTTTTTACGCCACTGCGGAGAGAGAAAGAGGGAGACAAAGACAGAGAGATATTTGTATTTAAAAATTCTTTAATTCGAAGCTGATAATTTGACAACGCTATGAAATCTTTATGTACGATATGTTTAGAAAGAAAAATAATCTCGAAAATAATTGTAAAAGTAATTCGTAGAATGAACACGGATTTTGCAACCATGGAGATATGACCAATTGCCAAGGATCAGTTAGCATAAAAAGTTAACAACATAGATTAAATAGTTTTATTTAACAAAAGAAGTTGAGAAAATATTCAGGTTATTTACACATGGCTGATAGTGAAGAAAATCTGGATACATTCCCGTTCATTTAGATAAA